CCCTCAAAGAAATAAAATCTCTCTTTCCCTGATGGGGCACGGGGCCAGGGCCGCTGGGCCCGCGTTGCCCCGTCACGTCGTTGGCTGAAGCCGGCAAGTTCGATCGACATCAGAGCTGCCCACTAACGAACATGAGCCGGGAAAAAGTGGGCGGGGCTGTGGCATTCCTCGAGTGGGGGCGGCAGAGAACGAGGACCACACAGTATTTCTGTAATTTCAACCCCACCCACGCTACCACACGGTGCAAGCTAAAATCGGGGAGCGTGAAGCACGCTGATCCACCGAGGGAGCACCCAGAAAGTGCGCCCGCCATTTGCCGTTACGAAACTACCCAGTTTTGCGAAAGGGAGCTCTCATAGCGCCTGATCGCTAGGCAACATCTTGCATGCAGAGCACGCGTGCACTGCTGGGTGGCCTACCCTGATTTTCGCAGGCGCCGAGCTCCTAGTAATTTGCCTAACGAATCTGAGAAAAGCGGGGACGTACTTTCTTGGGTGATCCCCATCGCGCGCTAGCCGGAACGCAAGGGGAGAACTCACCTCTTGGTGTTGCTCATGAACCAGAAGGTGCGGCACAGCGAGTGCAGGAAGAAGAGCGTGGTGACGGTGTGCGCCGCCCAGTCCTCCACGTTGTACGACTCGGTGAGCAGGAAGGCCACAAGCGTGGCGTAGCCGAGCGTCATCATGGTCACGTGGAAGAGCGAGTACGCCTGTGACAGCAAAGTTTCGAGTAATTATCAATTCTTAAAAGGGCCTATACCGGTAGTTAGTGGCACCAACAAAACGACCCTCGGCTCTCACCTTGCGCATGAGGCGTTGCATGGCCGAGTTCTCGGCGTGGTACTCCATGCAGTACAGCCCGGTGATCTGCATGGCCCGGATGTTGGGCATGAGGTCCGCGACCAGGCCGCGGTACTGGTTCTTCTGCCCCATGGTGGCGTCGTGTCGGACCTCCTCGTCGGCGTGCTCGTCAGACGGAGTCCCCCCGTGACATGGACGGCCGCGCCCCTAAAGCACCTGCACGACAAGTGTGTCGGGGAGGGCGTCGAGGGCGAGGGCGCGGGAGCTCGCCGTCGTCAAGGCCGCGGCCCCGATATGGCCCGCGGCGGCAAGCTCGGGCCGAACACGACTCAGAATGAATTGTTAACAGGGTCGGCCGAGAGTCACAGCCACGCTGACGCCGAGGCTCGTGCAGTGATGAAAACAGGCAGGTCAATAGGCGGGCAGCCTCGCCTCAACCAACAGCAGGGCAGCAAACATCATCGCCGTGGCATGTCAATATCTAAAGTAGCAGTAGTTTGAGCGCCCAAACACCCCTTTGATCCAGCCGCCTCCTCCTCGCGCGGCGCCCAAAACAACATGCTTTTCACTCTACCGCCCCGCCAGGCTGATCGCTGCCAAAAAATATGGCTCACTTCCCGGGCGGTTGAGGTAGGCCCTATAAAGGGTGGCGTCATTATGTCGTTATCCCTCCTCCCACCGCTCGGGCTCGGATCTCCCTCATCACCACGAGGTGGCATGCTGCAGTGCGATGGCCAACGCTTGTTCCGTTCTTTTGTCCCTTCGCTCTCTCGCCGTCATGCCGTCTCTCTTACCGAGAGCCCCCC